TCACCGGCCCCCTAAGGATACTTTCTTCATGCCGCCGAGCCTGGCGACAAACGAAAACTCGACGGCTCCATCGATTAGAAACATTGCCCGTTCAATTCAATATGTTAATTTGGTGTAAAATGCTTTTCTCACTCCAATGTTGCATAGTCTCCGGTATTAAACTTGGACCGGCTTCTAACAACAATCTTACAGCTGACATTATCATGAGAAACTATCACGTAAGCAGTCAACTGCAGACTGCAGGCTGAGGGTAAAATGTAGACTGCAGATTACAGACTTCAAATACTTCAAGTACATATCGTGTTATTATTGAGTGCTAACTGTAAATAGAGGTTATTCAGGGTAATTGCAGTAAAAATGTGCACTTCAGTTAGAATGAACAGCACTCCGGTTAGCCTGTTTACCCTTTAGCCTGTCTACCGGTTTAGATCTCAAGGATGAAAATGGTAAAGCACGAAACGGTTAAAAATTTGCAGTTTGCAGTCTTCATTTACTCTCAGTCTGCATTTTGCTCCCGGTCTGCAGTGAGCAGTCCACAGTTTGCGTTTTACACTAAATTACGTAATTTTACGAGAACAAAACAAGAACCCTTGAAAAGCAAGGTATGCCAAGCCGAGGGCCATAAAAATATTGCAAGTTTCGCGTCCCGTATTTTCAAGAGTTTGACAGGGAGTTTTATGAAACTATACGCATATTTAGTAAACTCGACGTGATAAATCAAGCGGTAAGAAGACCCAGGTGAGACCCATTGTTTTACGGTAAGTTTATGTCTATAATTATCTCTCTACAATAAGGACTAAAGGAGGGGGGTATTGGGGTATAATAGAAACCGCGAAACCGAAGAAAAAAAATCATCTGAAACCGCAAAAAAATCCGCCTTTCGCCTCCTCATAAAAAAACGCAACACAATCCACAATGGCTTTTTCCGTTGCAGGCGCAGGAGGCACGTTGGAAACTGACCGAATGATCGCCTTGGTCTGGGAGGTCAAAGTCTCGGGCGTCATTCGAGACGCGTGATCACCTACCGTGACATTTAGTTTGCTTTGGCGTTTCTCGGCTATTCGAGGTCAATCATATAATATGATATAAATTGCCGCTCAAATCGAAGAGAAACAGGGACCCAAATAAGGCAAAATAGGAAAAACCAAAAACCACATCGGATACCAAAACCGTAAAACTGCTAGTATTTTTTACGAAAACCGAAAACCAGATGCTAAGAAACGAAAAATCCGCAAACCGCAATAAACACCAAAACCGAAAAACCGAAATCTTTTGGCACAAAAACCGAAAAAACGATCTAAAAAATAGCCAAAACTGCAAAACCGAAAATCCCAGTGCCCTCCTCAATAAGTTAATTACCACGCCATGTGCTAAAAATGTCCACATTAATAGTTGACCTTAAAAAACTGAACAACTGAATGCAAATTTCTACTGATAACCCCTTTGGTCGCCTTTGTGGGTGCGTGTTGCTTGGGAATGCGTGTTAGTCGTATTTTCATGAGTATGCAAGGGATCCTTATGAAACTTGAGTTGACTAAGTTGATTTGTGCAGATCTAATAGCCTGCAGAACGGGCGATCATCGGGCCAGAGAGTGAAACGTGACCATTATCAGCTATAATCTGCATAACACTAGCGCAGTCACGCATAAAATGTTTTTGTTTTAAAAGAACAATGAAGAAGAACACTAAATGTGTGAAATAATGACAATTGACGACACCATGAACCCCTGACCGATACGCGGTCAATATAACTATTGCGACGGATGCACGAGGCCGATATTCGCTGGAAAGACGACCAATATGTGTATATTTTTTTTAACATTAACCAATGAACTGCTTCAGTGACCCAAGTCTTCCCAAGGGTACTTGATTGTCTGTAATCGTCGGACCTTGTCAGTGCGATAAGGCTGCAAGGTCGTATCAAAATTATTTCACGGATAGTACACATAAGATTAGTTCCATTCCCTCACCATTACGTCCGCTAAAAGACAAAGACCCTTAATCTCGATTATTCATGGCTGTCGATAGGGTGTTCGAAAGAATAATTTGCGATCTTTCAGCCCCGGGGGAGGTACTCCTCTCGGGTACTCCTACATACTGGCTATATATGTATGTGCCGCGGTTTTTGAGGTTCCCGATCCTTAAATAGGGNATGATATAAATTGCCGCTTAAATCGAAGAGAAACCGGGACCGAAATAAGACAAAATAGGAAAAACCAAAAACCACATCGGATACCAAAACCGTAAAACTGCTAGTATTTTTTACGAAAACCGAAAACCAGATGCTAAGAAACGAAAAATC